AGAGTGTTGTTCAGCATGGGGGTGAGTATAAAATGAAGGCTAATCATGTTTTGGGTGTACTATTCCTTTAAGACCAAGTGACTATCCACGGTACTACTAATCTCTGTAGAGGGAAACAAGCAAGTCAACATGGCGGCGCCCAAAACTTTCAGGAAGTTTGCGGAGAGTCAAGCGAAGAAGGCAGCCTTTGATGAATTTACTTGACAGATTCGGCTTTTGGGAAGTTAATAAGACAATCTATAGTGTAATCAGGGCTTACAGACCTAAGAAGGAACAAAAGACGTTGAGGTTCATCACACTACTAAGCAGACTAACAATCACTGGAAATCGTATGTCATGATAGGGAAGCTAGTATTTTTATGGATGTCTGAAATTTCATGATCACACATGAATTGGTACCATGTTAGCACGGTTCGGTTGTGTCTGGCGTGGTCCGGTTAAGTTCCTTAACATTTACACCCAATAGTTCTCTCCATTATCGTGTTTCGGATCAATCTTAGCACAGTTTCAAGAGGGTAGAGTAAATGGGGCATTTTTCTTCCCAGGTTGAGCAAATCTGAAGAGCTGGAGTTGGAGCACATCAGAAGCCTTCAGAGGGAAGTGACCCTGCATCGCAAGAAAAACGAGGCCAGCTACAAAGCTGCTCTTGCTGGCAGTAAGTAAAAACAACTGTGCTGCTGCTGACAGCAACTGCTGGGGAAATATTAAACTCTTGTCTCTTTATAGAACCACCACCAAAGAAAATCGCTCTGTCTACAACCGTGCCTAAGGACTTCCACTTCAACACAGACTCTCGCATTAAAGCACCTGCCTCATCAGGCACGTCGCACAAGGAGGTGGACTTCGTACATCAGCTACGCCAGCCCACATCCCCCGTAAGTCACTCCCACATCAACCAGCTGTGGCTCAAGCTAAATAATGACCTGGCTGTTCAGGACATTTCTGATCACTGTAGTTCATGTTAAAAAGCTCCTCAATAACTAATGAAAGTTCCTCAGTTGGTTTGTTTGAAGCTACAGGCTGATATATCAGACTATGCTAAGATTTAAACTATTTTAATCTTTTTGTTTCTTGTTCTAAGATGAAGGCCAGGAAAGGAGCCACGGTACCCAAACCATTTAACCTGTCTTCAGGCCACAAGAATAGGAAGGACGAGCCTGGGAATTACGTTCCTATGGCTCAGCAGATAGAGCAGTTTGAGAAGAGGACCCCCACCCGCTACCACATGTGCAGCCGCAAAACTCAAGAGAGAGGTGAGGCTGATGCACAACACAGCTTGGCATAACTTTTAGGATTGTTTCTAGTTTGTGATTAAATGTGCGGAAGCTTGGAGCAGAAATGTTCTGGTTGCCATGTTGGTGTTGCAAACATGGTCTTCATCAGTCCAGCGTTCCTGTCAAAGATGGAATTGTTTTCCAACCTTCAGATGGTTAAACTGCCTCACTAGCATGCAGTCCATCTCTGGTAATGTTGGAGTCAGGTGATCTGAAGCAAAGACTCAGCTAAAAGTCGCAGAACACCTCTGGAAACGTCTGGACATCCTGACTTGAATAACTTGATGATTAACCTGCTTGATATGAAGCCATGTGTGTATTAAAGATAAAACTAGACTACAGCTTATTTGATGACCTTTTGATTTGAGCCACGTTTGCTGTAATGTATTGTTTCATATCTTCATTTGACTTGAGAAATATATTTTTAGACTCAATACACAAATCTGAACAAAACAGGAAAATTTAAGTGAGCATGTGAATAAGGATGTTTGTGGATTAGAATTAATTTGAAATGACTACAGTAAGAGCAGCAAACTAAGAGTCAAAATCACTTTCGATTGAGATAAGGTAAATAATAACTGAGAAAATGTATGAAATCAAAATGGTCCCACTTGGCTGAAGCCTCTCGAGGCTGCTCCTTATTTCTTGATTAATTTTATGACAAACTTCAAAATATCATAATTGGTTTTTTTTTGTTTTTTTTTTTGCAGATGCGTTGTGTTTAATAACTGTTTAGTGCCTCAGTCAGTTCATAACAGCTCCTGTATCGTTCACGCGCCTTTCATGAAACTATAAGCACACCTTCAGCGTTTTGCTGTTGGAGCTCGACACGTGCAACACATCAGTGTTTCTGGAACTATCACTTTTAAATAAAATGCATGTTCTCATTTTAAATGAATGAATGAAAGGCATCTGCACTGTGATGGGCTTTTCCTACCAAGTTGGAACCACACTGCATGTTGAGAGCTAATGTTGGAGGACTTTTATTTTCTTCTCTTCGTTCCCTCATTTTTGTCAAGCCAGTCTTATTTTAGATCATCATCATCCCTGCTCTGATTACAGGTTTAGCTGAGCTTCTCTTTTAGTGTAGTTTTTCTGATATATGAAGATACACCCTTCTATTGTAAGTGGATTTCAGACTGATGGCTGCAGAGCAGTAAATGCCATCATTAGCTGGTGCATTGTAACAGTGATGCATGTAAAAGGTGCTGTAACAGGCCACCAGGTAGAAAAAGTCTTAGTATTAGTGGTATAGGTTCAGTTAGAAACAAGTTCTTCACATAATTGGCTTACCTCTTCGGTTTGGGCCTTTTAAAAGAAATTGATTTACACAGGAGAGTTTTCAGCAGCTTAGCAAACAAAAGATGCCTTCCCAGTGACCGACATTAAGTAAAGGAGCATGCATTCTTTGTTTATCAATGGATGGGATTCAAACCCACAAGGCAGCCCCTGTGCGCCCGGCAGCCAAAGATTATTTCTTGCATCCAGTCTTTTGTCGAAAGCGGTGTCCTGTCAGTAATTTTCCAACTCTCTCCTGAAAATATCCCAGGGCCTTCTCAGGTGAAGAGTCAGCACCTGCATATCACACAGCCCCACTCGCCCCAGCTGATGACCCGTCAGAGAAGCCGACCTACTACTGTGAAGAGCAGTGCAGAGCTGGAAGCAGAGGAGCTGGAAAAAATCCAGAAGTAAGGACATTTTGCTGAACGAAGATTATGTAAGGGAATTCTGGCGGTGCTTAATGTTGACTTGATGTGTTTATAGGTTTAAAATCAAAGCCTTAGAGCTCAACAAAAAGATCCTAGAAGGTGCTGAGGAGCTGAAGAAGCCCCCTGTGAAGGAGCCCACTGTACCTGAAGGCTTTGAGTTGGAGATAGAGAAGCGGCTCCAGGAAAGACAGGTCCACAAGAAGCCGCAGGATGGTGAGAAGCCCAACAGTTTTAAAGCAAAGCCTCTGCCTAAAAAGGTCCTGGATGGCGTGGTGGTGAGTCCTATCCACAGTTTTATTCAGAGCTTGATCCTGTTTAACATTTCTATGATGGCTTCATATTGTCCTAGAGTGGGAACTAAACTAGATGTTCTCCTGTTGGCAGGGCTTACCAGAGAAGAAAGTCATGTATCCAACTGTACCAGAATCTCCTGCATTCGCCCTGAAGAACAGAGTTCGTATGGAACGTAAAGTTGAGGAGGTAGGGAGCTGTGTCCTTGTTGGTTCTCCTCATTGAAAGACAGTCCTCTAACTTCCATGACTTTTTTTCATTTTGTTGCTCAGGAGAAACCGCCTTCACCGGTCAAAGCTGTCTCAGTTCCCCACTTTGGCATTCCATTCCAGCCTCAGCTCCCCGAGAGCCACCATGTGGAGGTGTGTCCTTTCTCATTTGAGCAGAGGGACAAAGAAAGACAGGCTCTAAAGGAGAAAAGGCTGGCGGAGCTGCAGAATGAAGAGGTGGGCTGCCAGTTATCCACAAGTGTCACACTTCTGAGTCCTAGCAGCTCATTTTCTCCATCCGTCTGCTTCCAGGTGCCACAGTTCAAGGCTCAGCCACTCCCAGACTTCAACACAGTGGTCCTTCCTGAGAAGAAGAAGCCTGAACCGACCAAACCTGAACCCTTCAGACTCCAGATTGATGAGCGAGGGGCAGCGAGGCACAGGCAGTGGGAGCAGATGGTAGGACAGGATTCACTATAGGGTCTAAACTAGGGCTGAAATGATTCATCAAATTAATTGATTATTGGAGTAATTCTAAACAGGAGTTTAGAAACTTTATAATATATGAACATTTAAGTTCTTTAAGGAAGCTTTGGCTATCCAGTTATTAATTGATTGGTAGAAGAAAATAACCAACAGATTTGCAAAATAATCATTAGTTGCAGTTAGTGGCGAGGGAGAAGGAAACTAGCACGCCATCTTGGATTACACTGCTCCCTGTTATCAAACCCTCCAGTAAACCACAACCTGGGGCTGCGATGAAGACCTGTACAAAAGAGTGAAGTTTTTACTATTGCCAAAATGTACTGCAGTAGCCATGTTTCATCCCATAGAGGGCAGAAGACTGGTTAGGTGTAAATGACAAAACTGGGGAAGGCTTAACGTTGGCATGGAAACTGTCTAAATTGCTCTTTAAAAAAACAGTGGCCTCCTTAAAGGGATAGTTCGGTATTTTTGACATGAATCTGTATGGCATCCCCATCACCAGTGTCATGCAATC